GGAGTGCTGGACTCCCGAGAGGCCCTGACCACGCTGGGCAAGCGCCTGGCCCAGATCTCCACCGACCCGCGGCTGGCCAAGGCCATCGTGCTGGCCTCCATCTACCGCTGCATCCAGCCCCTCCTGCTCATCGTCTCCTGCCTGACCCGCGACCCCTTTAGCAGCAGCATGCAGAACCGAACGGAGGTGGACAAGGTGAGGGAGGGCCCCCCCCCGGGGTGGGGGGGTGGGGGCTTTCTCCTAGAGCAAGGGGTTGGACTACATGACCTCCCAGGTCCCTTCCATCTCTGTCATTCAATGATTCTGTAAGGGTCTCCTGATCAAGCAGGGGGTTGGTTGGACTAGATCTCCCAGGTCCCTTCCCACTCTGTTGTTCCGTAAGGATCTCCTGCTGGAGCAGGGGGCTAGACTACATGATCTTCCAGATCCCTTCCATCTCTGTCATTCAATGATTCTGTAAGGGTCTCCTGCTCGAGCAGTGGGCTGGACTACATGACCTCCCAGGTCCCATCCCTTGTCATTCAATGATTCCGGAAGGGACTCCTGCTTGAGCAGCGGGCGGGACTAGATGGCCCCCGGAGGTCCCTTCCGACTCCGTGAATCCTCTCGTTCTTTGCGACGGTTGCTCCGTAGGCCAAGGCCGTGCTGAGTCGCGAGAGCGGCAGCGATCACTTGGCCTTTGTGCGGGCCGTGGCGGGCTGGGAGGACATCCTGCGGCGCCGAGACAGCCGCGCTCGTGACGACTATCTGCAGGATTACTCGCTCTACGCCCCCAGTTTGCGCTTCATCAATGGTGAGCGGGCTGACTTTTTCTAGCGCGATTGACCCCCCTCCGTTTCCTAATTCTCTTTTCTTGTTTTAGCGCTGGCAACGGCCCTTAGATTTATACACCTCGGTGCTTTTTCAGCCCTTTCTAAGAGTTTTAGAGAATCAGCATGTCACCCCTTCTCCCCCAACCACCTGGGTCCTTGTTTTGCAACCGTGGAAGGACGCAAGGTTTGAGTCCACCTTCAGCTCCTGCAGAGTGGAGCTGTAATATTTGCGTTCTAAGCACTGTGCTCCCACGGCTCACTCTCCAGGGGAAGGAAGGAAAGAGGGAGGGAGGGAGGAAATGGATGTGGGAGAGAGGAAGGGAGGAAAAAAGGGAAGGGAACGAAGGAAGAAGATGGGGAGTTAGGAAGAAAGGAGAGGAAGGGAGGAAAGGAGGGACGGTGAGGGAGAAAGGAGATGGATGGGGAAAGAGTAGATGGGTGAAAGGAAGGAAGGAGGTGGGGAGTTAGGAAGAAAGGAAAGAAGGATACAAAAAGGAGGGAGGAATTATGAAGAAGGGTGGATGGAAGGAAGGAAGAAAGGTGGGGAGTCAGGAAGAAAGGAAAGAAGGATACAAAAAGGAAGGAGGGAGGAATTATGGGGAAGGNCGAGATCTTTGAATGTGCGAAGGGCACAGGGGAGAGTTCCTAGAGGAGGCTTTCTGATGTTTTAGACTCGCTTAAGGACAGAGGTACCCTACTAGCGTCCAAACCCCTTGCCCAAACAGGAGACCCTTACAGAATGACAAGAGTTGGAAGAGACCTTGGAGGTCATCTAGTCCAACTCAATGCTCGAGCAGGAAACCCCTACAGAATCACACCGTTGAAAGGAATCCTAGAAGCCATCTAGTCCAACCCCCTGCTTAAGCAGGAGACCCTTTACAGAATGGCAGAATCGAAGAGTCGAAGGGTACCTTGGAGGTCATGTAGCCTGACCCCCCTGCTGCTCACCCAGCTGACTCTTAGGGGATGATACAATCACACAGTTGTAGTGGACCTCAGAGGTCATCTAGCTCATTGCCCTGCTCCAGCAGGAGAGCCTTACGGAATCAATAGAATGACAGAGCTGGAGGGGTCATTGGAGGTCATCTAATCTGACCCCATGCTCAAGCCGGAGACCCTTAAAGAATAACAGTTGGAAGGGACCTTGGAGGTCTACTAGTCCAACCCCCTGCTCGAGCAGTAGACCTTCACAGAATGACAAAAGGAGGGGACCTCAGAGGTTATCTAGTCCAAACCCCTCCTCAAATTAGAAATTAGAGAATAAGATAGTTGGAATAGACTTTGGAAGTCACCTAGTCTGGCCCCCTGCTTAGGCAGGAGACCCTTACAGAATCACAGTTACAAAGGATCTTGGAGGTCATCTAGTCCAGCCCCCACCCCGCTCAAGCCCGGTAGACCCTTACCCAATCCTGGAATAGCATCCAGCTATGGGATCTCCCATCACTGGAGCCTCTTAAGAAGAGACCGGACGGCCACTGGTCCAGAAGGCCCTACGGTCTCCTGTGCGGACAGCGGGTCAGACTAGAGGACCTCCAGGGACCCCCTCTCCGTTCCCATTTCGGTTGAATTGCGTTTGCTTTCTCCCTGCAGGCTGTCGAGTTCCTCTCCAAAGCCCTGGACAGCCGTGACATCAAAGCCGTGGATGAGGCCCTCATCCTCCTGCAGGAAATCGGTGAGTTTCCGGGGTTAGACAGGAGGCGGCATCGGCGATTCCCGTTCCCACCTCTCGGCCTGCTCACCCCCCACTTCCCTCTTCCCCAGGAGTGCTGGACTCCCGAGAGGCCCTGACCACGCTGGGCAAGCGCCTGGCCCAGATCTCCACCGAC